CCGTCTTGAAAACATTTTTATTCTCTTAAAAGTACTGGTCATCTTTTCACATTTATTTGGTTGCGATTGAGTGATTATCCCAATTAGAAGTTCAGGAGTTGAAATGGAGAGACTTTCCTGGCGAAAAGCTGATCCATTATGTACATTGCAGTGTCCCTCTTCCAGTGTCGCGGCCAGGTGATCTTATTTTTTGAATTTTTATGCTATTTGAGGTTTACTTGTTCTTTCAGTATGTGAGATATAATTAAAACGGAATAAGCATATTTGCATTCCATGGTAATTATAATTAACATCATAAGAGTTGTTTACTTTTCTTGCATGCAGAAACAACTCTTTTGATGTATCTGTAATATTACCATAAGATGCAAATTTTCAGTTTTTTAAATATTGTGCTTGTTCTGTTTTTTTTTTGTGCATAAAGAGAGAAAATGGGTTGCAGGATTGTTATGCTGAAGTTTTCATTGGGTTTTAATTTTTCAAATTAAAGTTGATGACGCTGAAGACCTATTGTGAAATTTTGCTATGAATTGTTTGGTCATCTTGCACTTTCTTATTCGAGATAAAAAAAAATCAAACTAAACCATTTGTATGATTGTTTCGTCACAAAAAACTCTTACATATCGAGCTTCATGACTGGAAAGCAGGTCATTTGTCAAGTTTCATTGATATACAGAACTGTAGTATTGCTGTCATTTTCAGATGAACTGTATAAAACTACTACTAAATTAAACGAGAGTCAAAAATGCGCTGTTGCTGCTGCATTGAACAAAACGAGACCAATTGTAACCATTCATGGGCCACCTGGAACGGGAAAAACGGCTGTAATTACTGAAATCGTTATGGAAGCTGTTAGTAGAAAACAAAAAGTATCTATTGTTGGATATTTTTGTTCTAAAATGGATGTTGATACTCATATCACACTACTTTATTGTGTTTCACCCGTAATCAATCTTTATGTTCGTTTTGGGAGAAGTGTGCATATCTCCACTCCATTTTACCATTCATTTTGTTGCATTCTTTCATTTCAAAATAGTGTAACTTGAAAATGGCATGTATCAGGTACTCATTTGTGCTCCTTCAAACGTGGCAGTTAATAACGTAGTGAATCGATTGAAAGGCTTCACTGAAATATGTTCTCTGGGAATAGATTCAGAGCTGTCACTTTCAAAGGAGCTGGAACAGCTTGAAAAATTCAGTGACGTTCAGAGTCTCATCAGAAACTTGGTTTGTGTCTTTTGTAAACAAAGTATTTACTGCAAGTGACGATGACATCTCTTGAACCTTTTAAAAAAATGATCAAGTTCAGTAAATGCTAACTTGATGCTTTATCACTATATGAATAAAAAGTGTTGGTAACATCAGATAGTTTTTCTTACTGGAATATCGTTGTACTTCTGTAGTTTTCTATCTTTTTGTACTACGAGATTGCAGGATTCAGAAAATGATGTGGTTTCCGAAATGAATTCAAATGCACGTAAAAAAATTTGGCATGTAGCTAATAAAATGTTATGGAGTTTGAAGGAGGTGGAAATATTCGTTTTGTTTTTATTCCTATGTAGTATGCAGTATGAATTAGTAGTGCATTTGATATTTTTCCTCTATCAGTGCTGTTATTTTCTGACGATTACTACTATAGTATGCTTTAGATATAATGTTTCATTATAGTTTCAAAGCCAAAGACACAATCTCATAATTTCTCCATATGAGAAATTCTAACATCTAATTATTTATTCATAAATTATTATTTATTTACAAACTCTTCTCCAAAGATTATAGAGCGTCCTAAAAAACAAGCAAGTGGTTGCTTGTACTCTTACTAATAATTCACTTCGATTTCTTCGTGAACAAGGCTTTCATCCGAATGTGACTGTAATAGATGAAGCTGCCCAAACCTTAGAATGTGTTGCATGGTATTCATTGCTCTTGTCACCTAGAGCTGTTGTTGTTGGTGATCCATGGCAGTTACCACCAGTTTTGAAAACCTCACAGTAAATTTTTTTTTGCTTGAAGTTTTTGATTGAAATGTATGGGTAGAGTTTTCTATGAACTGGTTGTTACTTATTCTACGTGAGAGTTTTTTTATAAATTTAGGTTATATTAAAACTGGTCGCCAATATATCTATTATATGAAAATAACAGTCTTATCTGTCAGTTTAAAAGTTATTTCATGAAAATTAATCTAATTTAATCAGTTTCTCTGGGACAAAATTCTTTTTCTGCTCAGGAAGAGCTACCTTGTTTCGGTGTTCTTTGTTAAATCCTTAAAAGATTGTTAGATCGGCTGAAAGAAGTAAGACTGGCAATTCGCTGATGGATACTCTATCGAAGAGGTTTGACCAGTCGAATTCATTCATGCTAACTGAACAATATCGTATGAACAAAAAAATTATGGAGTCAGTTTTATGCTTATTCCGTTTTCAAGTGGTGTTAATACCTATCGTTTTCGAAAAATGGTATATCTTGTTTGCAGGTGGCCATCTTCATTTTTCTACAACTCACAATTGCATTCAAGCGAACTTGTCTCCAATCAACTTTTGAGGTATGACTCCTCCAAATAAGTTTTTGGCGTGAATATCATTAAGTTAAAAAAGTTGAGAAAACATAATCATCATATATTTGAAAAAGAGTAAGATTCTAGAACAATCGTATTTTCAGTGATATAAGTGACATGCCAAAAGGAAATTTGTTTGATGAGCCCATGATATTTCTGGATACAAGCTGTAATAAGTCGTCAGATAATAAAGAGAAGTCGTGTCGAAACTCATTTATCAACACTTGTAGGTTTTATCAGTTGTATCTTTCACTTTCCTTCTTGTCATTGGTGGAACTTTAAGATGCTAATTGATGCACTTTTGTAATCTAAAAGTTGCTGAGTATCTTTAGTTGAAGCGCGACTGGTCACGAAGTACATTACTATGTTAAGTGCCTGTGGTGTTCGTAAAGAAGATATCGGTGTTATTGCCCCATATGCAGCTCAAGTATGACTCGTAAGATATGATGGAAAATGTTCCTTTACATTCTAAAAGTGTAGTAAAGTTTTACACAACTGGCTTCTGTCACATAATTTAATAACCAGAAGGTAACAAGTGTTATTTTTGTTACAGTACGTCCTCTTTCCAGGTAGGTCTACTTAGAAACTCAATAAGGACTAGTAAGGTGAATAGCGTAGACGCATTCCAAGGTCAGGAGCGTGAAGTTGTAGTCATGTCATTGGTGCGAAACAACAATGAAGGTACCGACTCACCAATCTCTAAAGCTTGTAAATGAAACACCTAAATATGGTCTTAAACGTTCTTAAGAAATTTTATTTTAGGGAGGATGGGATTTTTAAAGGATAAGCGCCGCTTAAATGTTGCTGTCACAAGAGCCCGCCGACAATTTATTCTGATTGGTAATGCAGCAATGATGAGACACACGAAGCACACGAAATCTCTCTTCGAATACATACAGCGTCATGGAGTGATCGTTAAACCTGATCATTTGACTCGATTCAAGCCTCACATTCGTAATCGACCTTAACAAAAGGGATTGTAGAAATGCAGCTTGCAATGTGAGGAGGGATTTTGAATTCCATAAAATTAGGGTCAAGATAGCTAGCTTACTATCAAAGATATATAATTAGAGTTTTTTGTAGGATATTTTATGAATAACATTCACCATGCTTTTAGCATCAAACAGAAATTATAGACATAAGTGCAAAAGTAATACACATAAATGCATCATCTGATAGCTTAGTTAGATGAGACAGACTATTTTGAAAGGGAAAGACATACAATTAAACATTCGTAAGTAAAGAGAAGAACCAGCTTTACTAAAAGAAAATGATAATTTAGAATGCTCAATCAGGGCAAGGTTGTTGTATCGTGGCGATTTCATCATCAGACTTCTCGACAAGTTCTGTTGGCATATCATTTCGAGATATTACATTCTCAGCATATTCTTTACGATCTTTGAGACGTGGTGAAGCAATCTTTTCCTTTCTAAGACATCGACTGTGTGAAGAGACTGGGGAATAAGTGATGTCATTTGAAAAGTCCGAACAGTGACTCGTCGAACAGCCGCCCAATGTTTCGTCCTGAAATTTGAGAATTCTGGTCGATAACATAAGACATTATTTTGGTGCAAATGACCCCTCAATTTAATCTCCTTTATTTAATCAGTAAAAATAAACAATCCTGCATTTGTGTTGTACATCCATTTGAAAAGTAACGCCACAATTAACGTGTCCCAAAAATAACAGTACAGAGGAGCAAAATTTGAAAAATATGCTCACATTATTGAATTGGTCGACAGGCTTCATTTCTATGCACACAGTGTTATTTTCCTTGCTATTACGGTCTTGGCTGTTCAGCGTTAATACCTATAAATTTGAAATCGAGTTCTACATATACAAAGTGATTGTCATAGGAAGAAGTCTTGCTTTCTCTTCATGGACAACAATTTTTCTTTTAATGGCCGGTAACCTAACCTGTTGGATGGCAACTGAAGATCGAGAAGAACGCCTAACAAGTTTTGAACTTAAAGATGTTGAAATATCATGAGACGTGTCAGCAGCATAACTAAGTGAAGTAGCTGGGACTACACATGACTGTATGTGACTAACTGGCCCATTTAACGCCTCAACCAATGTCATCGTCTCATATCTTGAATAAGTAAATTACTATTATCTCAAGTGAAGGGAACTGCTCTTTTAAAACTTCCATAAACTTAATTCCAAAATATGGATAGAAATGATATGAGATGAAAATACCTGGTTTGAGAACGCGTTTGTTGTACAGATGGCGGTTGGTCAGCTATTGAGACCGTGCTGACAACGCGCATTGTTTTAAGCTGCAGCAGAGCACGGAAAGGAGAACGACAGATGGGACAATTGTTTAACTGAAAGTCAAAAAATATTCTAATATATATGTACAACAAATAAATGATGGAATTATGAATTTTCAATGAAACATGTGTCGGATATTTTCATGACTTAAAATCTATTGGATGTAAAACTAATGTCTAAAAATCAAACAAATATAAACTATTGATAAGAGTAGAACGCTTAAGTATGATGAAAAAATTCTTGACAAAGATTAACCTTGTAACGCAAAGTTTCGGCACAACCATTACAAATACATAGATGTCTACATGGTAAAATAACAGTATCACGAATATCGGACATACAAATGATGCATTCAGATCCATTCTCGTCACCAAGATCGTGTTCCTTATTTTCTATTCCATAAATTTCTTGCAACAAATAAACTACACCATCGGCTACCTAACAAGAGTCTTTGATACTTGATAATATCATTTGCTCTAGGATTTGCCAATATAAACATGACTGACTTATCAGAAAGAAGTCCATATTCAATTTTTCTCAAGTAACTAAAACGTGACTAAGATTCTACCAGTTTTTGTTTCAGAGCTTTCACTACGAAAGTTGCACACTGATCAGAAGCATGTTCAATGCTAGCCATTGTTGACTGCATTTGTTCAATGCCGCAATCGACTGCACGAATCTCAATAACAATCGGAAAATATGAGCCGCTCTCATAATGCATCTGAATAATTTCTCAATAATTAAGGAATCAACTGGAACAAGTAACCCGCATGTATAGATCCTCTAGGAATGTGATTGTCAAAACTAACAGAACTAAGATCATATACAGCAGTATCCATCTCGAACTTGTTGAAATATTGTTCGGCACCAACATCGAAGTAATATTGCTCTGATGACTTCATTTCAGGATATTTATGCATGAATCTTAAAACAGGTACACTTAATGGTTTTTGAACGAATTACTGAGAGGTCTGAAGCACATAAACATGCCACACTTATGAGAGCAACAATCCTACTTGATAACATGAGTTTGTAATATTCAGCAGCAATTGTTCTATACATCTTATTTTATGTATCCTATAAATCAAAGAACATTACTGACATTTGATATTTAACAAAATGACTATGAACAATATAATTTTTCTCAGTTAGTTAACAAAAAAATACTTACTGTATACGTCCACCGCTAACAAATTCTTTAGCAAAGAAATGAATTTGTACAAAACATGCACTGTCACAATCAAAATAGAACTCCAGATAAAAGGAACTGCGACCACTTTCAGAAACACTGTTTCGGCTCCTAAGTAATAAAGAAATAAAGCCAGAGAGCTGTATTTCAAAATATTTAGATAGGCATTTATCTTTCAACTATATTTGAACAGTAAGATACAATAAGCCGTCTTAACAAAATTCAAGCAACACCAACTTTTTAATACAAAAGAATGTCAAGTAGTATGTACAATTTAAACTTCAAAAGAACATAATGCTCGCCAGTCCTAATGTCAAGGTCATATTTAACATATTCATTTTACTTAACTGAAGAACATACTTTGTTAATTTCAAAGAATCTCGACGAAGATTAATCAACGCATTCAGTGTCCTCACCGGATCATTCACTGGCTGGCTTGAATAAGGAAACTAAAATATGGAAGTAGAGAATGTAAGCCATTTTTGGAAGAAAACTGACTTATAGTGAAAACAAACAAACTATTATCAATGCACCTGCACTGATCTATTGCCAAGTATGTCTAAGTCTGCATTATCACCAAATAAGAATGCTTCTGGTTTAGCCAAATCATAACGTTCGCCTCCTAATAAAAAATAAGAGCCAAAAAACGCCCCTGAAAAAACTGGTAGCAGTCAGAAAACGTATAGTTCAAATGTAATATTCATAGCCTCAACCCATTCTTTACTTGAATCAAAAAAAAATCGAAAGAAGTTGAACAATGTCTTGAAATGCTTTTCATACTTTGGCAGCAAATAATCGTTATTATAATAATATATTTTCACCTGGATGACTGGAAAAACAGTGCATCTCACGATCTTCATCATCTTCGTCCGTAACACTAGCGACGTCTTGAACATCGGCTCTTCGACGAAGAGACGCTACCTGACCCATACAGAAACACTACAAATAAAATAATCATAACCACAAACAAGCATTCTGGCTCAGAATAATAAATAAAATTTGATCGCTAGTAGAAAAAACTATTTCCACATACTGATTCTTGGAAGGTCAATAGACAACAACAAATTGACATTTAATTTCAAACGAATGCGATATATTCTTACGGAACATGCAAATATCCTTATTCACACCACACCAGTATTAATTATGCATAAAATACTGATATTGACTGCTTCACTGATACACCATAATCAGTGACCACTAACTGCCGTAGCATTCCCCCGAAACTTCCCTGAAAAACAAGAGCAAGATATGAGTTTTCTTTTCTCCTTCTGAGATGTGACGAGTATCACAAGAGGTATCATTTCTCTGAAATTTGCAATGCAATTTCCAGAGTTATTTCAAGCCTATGAGTTTAAAAAAGCCTGTACATGTTGTGTAAATTGAGTCCTTTTTGTTGAAACGAAAAAATCCTGCAAAATCTCTCCTCAAATAGAATAAAATATAAACAAATTTAATCTAATATACCAAAACATTTGCGAAATGCTGGGAAAAATTCGGGCCTACGCCAGCCGAATTCTGCATAACAACGTCTTTTGGCAAAACAGGCTTCTTTCACCATAGTTGTCGACATTTCAAGTCTATACTTCCTGATGAGGATGGCTGAAACTAAAATCTTTAGATCGGTGTACAAAAAAATGGAGAAATTGCAAGCGATAAAATCCTAACAATTCGAAACTGCTTGAGAGAGTTCAGCGTTTTTAGCGCTCAAGTATCTCAGTTGCTCCATAATTATGTAGGCGCTTCTAGCTTGCCCCTGATAACACAATAGATCTTGATGGGCGTACTTTGTAATGCTGTGGAGCTAAAACCTTTATTCTGAAACACAAAGAGGTACAAAAATTGAATAAAAGCCTTACTTACGGATATATCATAAAAGTCTTCATAATGACATGGAAAGTAGCGTGTCATCCGACTGATCTGTTTGTTTATTTTTTGTGTTGTATTAGTTTATGCACTTCGTTGCACACTACTGAGAATCACAAGTTTTCCTTGCATAAAGTGTAATAAATGAAGATGCAAAAATATTTCTCAAGTTTATGAATAGCTCAGAGCTGCACTGTTAGGCAGCAAAAATTTGAACCTAATATTTTTGTTATAATTTGTGTAAAACTGAAGAAAATTAACCTCTAATTTCCATCTTTAGCAAATAGCTAATTTTAGTTGATACAATTACTTATCAAAATTATTTGCCATTAAAAATTGCTGAACATGGCATTTTTATTACCGCATGCCATGGAGTGCATTATATTCTCTTTCTTTACAAATATACGATCTAAGTTTGTTTTCAGAGTAAGCAGTGAGTAAGCAGTGCAGTTAATACATCTAAGTTTAATTAATAGTTGAAGAAGACTGAAATAGATAAACACAACACTCAAACTAGGGCAGGTGGAATACAACTTCTCACATGTTCTTGCTCACAAAATATGTCTATCAAGATCTGCTATACGATCCAGAACGCGTTGAAAAATGTAATGATCTCAAGTTGACACCCTTGCTTCCACACGCATTTCATATGTTTGTCACTTTCTGCTCCTATCTCTTTCAAGATTTTCTCATCATCTAACTAAGAGTATGGTATATCACTTTCCCCAAACAATACAAATAAATCATTGCTGACAATCGCGGGAGAACTTTGGCTGCAAAATTTTAATAGAACAAAAAGTTTTATCATTCCAGACATTAGTATTGGAAAGAAGCTCTACTAAAAGCATTAAAGTCTCGCTTTGCTAACAAATTAGAAAAAAAGGGCAAACAATGAGTGATAGCCATTTATTGGTATAAATTTTAGTAAAATGAAATTATGAATTACTATTCATGATGAGAAAATTGAACAGAAATTTTAAAAAATCTAGGAGAGTTTTTGTTGCACACTGTACATGCACTGAGCGAAACAAAGCTGGATAAGTTAAAGAAAATTCATAGTGTACAACAGGAAGCATGACATGATTTTTGTAGTTTCAATCAGAACTTGGTGCCTAATTATCTGTAATCATTGTAATGAGCAAGCAGACAGTAACTTTATTTATATATAAGGAATATAGGAAAATAATCATGTTTCTTCTATTCGTACTAATTCGTCAAGTTCAAACCATAAAAACTTTGTATTGTTTGTATGCATACTCTTATTTAGATACTGAATCTTGATGCTTGATGTAACCAGATACTAGAGTAGATATAAATAAAGTTCGTAATAAGTAAACATTATTCCTATCTTACGGTACGATACATCACAATGTTCAAATATGAGTTCATTTCTTTATGATTATTTCAGGGCTAAGAAATTTTCCCAAATGCTTGCGAGAACGATACATCAAGGTACATAACAGTTCATTTACTACAAAGAATCGTGCAGACACGGAGGTACATGCATTGAATTTATCAGCAGCATATTAAATGTTTAATTCGTAATGATGAGTCGTAAAGTTTTGACTGAAAAAGTTTTCACCGTTTTAGACTTGGCAAAAATTGTGCAGCGTTGCAAGAACTTTTAGCTCTTAAATTATACTATTTCTAAATGGCGACTGTGAGAGCGAACGAGTTAGAAATGGAATGTATGACTGCAATTACCATTGAGCTCTAGAAAGTAATAAAAGAATAAAAAACTTTTTAACTTTACAATTTTTTCGTACACTATTTTACACATCTAATGTAAGTGATGCTTGATTAATAAAAATGTGAAAAATTGTTTTCCGAATTCATAGCACGTAATTACACTAGAAAGCAATATGTTTATGCGTCACACTGTTCCCTTCATTGAATAAATGAATACAAAGTGCTTCAGACGATAAATATGATTGTGTAAAGAAATATATAAAAAAGTTACAAACACATATCAAACAAGGCTACCACCCACGTTCACGCCCGCACTAATTTTTTTGATATAGTTACGTCTGAAATGACTCATCTCTATATTTCTGATTTGCAGTGGTACGCATTACAGTGTTAACTTTCAAGGAAAATAATCAATCAGAAAATATGATATACGCCTCAACTAACATAAATAAGCTTAAGAAAGCATTTAGTTACATTAACAGTAAATACAAGAAGCTATAACTTTTTAAAAGAAATATGGCGTCAAGATAGTTTTAATATATATCTACTTCACGAGTTACGTCATAATCGGGAAGAATATCGTACTGTGGTGAAAACTAAAAAATGAATGTAAAAGGAATACAAATTAATTCGTCCCTATTTCAAGATCTATTAAAGAAATAAAAGCATCGCCAGCTGATGAGCAGACATTTTTACAGACATGTGGAGAAGAAGCGACATAGATAACTAAGCAGCAGCAAACAGTGCAACTCCTCCGCACTTCCCCTCACGAAATTTGATTGCCATTTTGAAATAGGTCGCATATGTTTAGCTGTTTTTGTTTCTCGACCTCACATTTTTGAACATAATCAGCATTATCCTCATAGAGAAATAGACAGTGTGCGTGACTGACTGACTAGTAGATACGAAAGTAGCATTGAAGTTTAACCAGCTCTATGCATATCATCTCTTCAGTAGTCAGGCACAAGCTCATGTTCTAAACTGAACTTTCGCATTTAAAAGGAGCATGAAAAAATTTAGGAAGAAAACAAACCAAATATTAAACAAAGTGAAGCATGCAGAACATGAATCTAAGTCCATTACCGGCAAATTTTTGTTTTCAGTATTTTTTCGTTAAAAACTTTGTTCTTAGCATTCTGATGAAATTTTCTAATACTGCGTGAGGCTAGGTCACTTCGATGATTCAGAAAAAGAGTTTGCTTGGTCATGCTCACATTTTCCACTAGACATGCTTTGTGAAGGATAATTTTGAAATAAATACGTGGCAGTGCTATCTAGTTAATCATATTGTTCTCCTTCTACGTACAATCATTTTGGATTGATATGCAATTACCAGCAAAAATGTTCAAATCAGTAAGCTTCCGGACCAAATTATCACTGCAGGTCATTCTCCAAACTCAATCAAATTAGCACATTCATGCGCAACATTAAATTCGCAGCATAATCAAATGATTGTTTTAGAAGGCTGAAATAGCATGTTATGAAATATTTCGGAATTAAGAAGAAAATATATTTATCACGAAACCTTGATAAGTATATTTTCTTCTCTTTCAAATGCCAAGAGGGTATGTGGTAAGAACATGCTGTCTATCAATGACAGAAAGTGAGAGAACAAGTGTCGGCATATCAAAAGCAATAATATGGATACCGTAATCGTAGCAAAAATCATTATTTGTTGCAATTTTGTTACCTATCGCAACCAGACTCGTTTCAAAATTCAACAGATTTCAAATAGGCAATATATCATGCAGACACTTTCCACCAACTCATGTCTGCGGTTGCTTTGTAATACCAATGCTTACTCTACTCCATAAGGTCGTCTATTTCTTACTCTTTTGTCTAGCACTTTTGGGAACACAAGCAGCTATTTTCACTCCATTAACTGTTTATTCCTTTCTATCGTAATAGAAAATATACGCCTTCAGTTTGCTTAGTAATTGATTATTTGCGTTAAGAATTTTTGATTTTATCGCAAGTTACTCTCTATGATTATCCAGAAGTTATTGTTCTTTATATTCTATAATTTTCATACAAAAATTAATAGCTCAGTTTTCAACATTTATTGTCATTAGTTACATTTGCTGCATGTTAATTTTGATGTTTAACATTGTCAGGATATGTTTCCATGTAATGATGCACCACTTATACATGTATCAGTGATAACAAAGAAATAATTGAAACATATTTTGGATTGAATTGCTATCATAAATGAAGATTGCGAAATTGTGGAGATTGCGAAATTTCTCTCAACGCCAAAAATTTATGAAAGAACTTTTTGCTTGTGTTGTAAGACGGTATTTGTGGAAGTATTTGAAAGATAATTCTTTTACAGAAGGACTGCTAGGAAAACGATTAGGCATATAACATTATCTGGCGATATACTAGAACTGAATTTGAAGACTGGATTTCTATTTATCTCGTGGATAGTGCTTGTTACCTTCTACCACAGTTATCTAAAACAAATTCTTTCGTAACGAAGCCTCAAAATTAAATTTTCACGTATGCAGTGTTCACTTGTGTTTTATGTTATTATTATATCTTCTTTCAATCATTTTTTGCATTATTGCACATATCTACTGATTTTCTGCATATTAGAATGCTGGCCTAACTTACCGTGTCTTGTTTCATGTTATAATTTTAAGTAAACTATCATTCCGAGAGTCATACTTAATCTTCAAAGATTTGTTATTCCTTCCAACTGTACCTAATGTATCTTTCTAAACTTACTGTAATAATGTCATTTTGAAATCAAATCACCAGTACTTTAAGCGCAATATGAATATTTTACAAGTTCTTTCTCTTACAAGATATTTGTATCGATATGACTTCGCTATTGTCTCTTTAGTTCAATTTTGTTATTTTGAAAGTCCAGGCTTGTTATTTGCTACATATTCATTTACTATCATGTTTACGTTGAATTAATGCTAATTTATTACATGGAAGTCAGTAGATATGTTCTTATCAGAAAAACATTTTCTTGGGATTGAAATTTTGGAATAGGTAAGGAAGAGCTTCTGCACCTTTCAACTTTTAAAATTATCATAGTTGATCCATAAATTACGTGTATTATTTATCGATCTACCACTACATAATAATGGTGGATAGTCCCTCAATCTCACTATGAATGTGATTCGGACAAAAAGGGCGGGCTTTAACTGGCTCTGTGCATCCTCATCAAGCCAGTAAGAAATTTTGGCTTTCTAGCGTCTCTCTTCTCTTCGCGCTATTTCGTATACCGTTTCCTCCTGCCATCACTATAAAATCGGGAAACCGTGATAAGGTGCTCATATCTGGTTTGTCGACATCTGGGGACTGGTCGTGTTTTCTAGGGCTGGTGGTTAAAGGGGTTGGTCTTGTTCCCTGAAGCAGATAGGTGTAAGGGAAAATGAGAAGTGTTTTTCAGGAAAAATGAATATTTTACATCTTTTCTTCCTGTAAAATAGTAACTGGTAATTAGTCCTACACCATGTTGCATGTGTACTACTGATATGACTTGTAATTGTTATGGTATAGCATTATATAAATCTTGATGCTATCTCATTTAGCATTTCAGCATTTCTATACGCTATACGCTGTAGAAAGAAGTCGTGTGCTATTCATCATGACACCTTCAAAAGCCAATAACGAGGGTTCTGAAAATTCACTTTCAAAAACCAAAAAGACTGAAGATTCACCTTCAACAGTGAAAGAAGATCCATCTTCAAAACCAAGCAAGAAGACCAAGAGTCGTCACCGTCGCCATAACTTGGACTCGTTCTCGGTCTACCTTTATCGCGTGCTACAAGAGATCCATCCAGACATCGGGATTTCTTCTAAGGCAATGAATGTGATGAACTCATTCGTCAATGACCTGTTTGATCGCATCTCCAGGGAGGCTAGCAAGTTGTTGCGTTATAACAACACGCGTACGATTACGGCTCGTGACATCCAAACAGCTGTTCGTCTATTGCTACCTGATGGATTAGGACGACATGCGGTTTCTGAAGGTATGAAAGCAATCGCGAAGTATAGCGGTTCGAAAATGAAGGATACAAAGTGATCTTTGGTGATGTTATTTTTATCAATAATGGTTTATGAAATTTTATTATAACTGTTGGAATAAATCTTTTTTTTGTTTGCACTTGTTTCTACCTGGTAGTTGCATGTTATGGTTTATTGCAATTGTCATTCTGACCTGGTTGACGTCCATGAATCATACAAGTGCAGCACGAATGTGTAGGACAGCCAACAACTTGGGATTCTAGACATTCTGGTACTAGCCACATGAACATTAGGGTTCAGCAATACAAAGACACCAAATATGTTCTGGATAATACAGAGATTATTTTGTCCTCCAGATAGTGTTATCATAATGTGCGGACGCATTAAACACTGCAGCAAGACGCTTTATTATAAAGTAACGAAATGACTTCATACAAAGTACCCGAGATATGAACACAATAGTTTACATTTGGTATTGGAATGATTTGTCTACCATATTTAAAATGCAAAAAGTACGATTCAGATGGTGCGAGAGCGCACAGCTGAGTAATCACTGGCTTGACAAGAACTATCATGATAATCCTAGTTCCCAGTGCTAATTTATAATCCATTTCAATCCAGACGTGTTTACAAGAAGCAGACAGTACTCCAAAACAAATCTTCCGTATATTTTGCTGCTAAAGAAATTAAAGGACATTAGAACAACTGGTAAGGCACAACTGATACTGCAGATCAGCACAGAACTCCCAATCTCCTGTCTTATGTAAATGAAATCTTAAGTTTAAGGTTGTTTCTCCAAACAAGATGCACACTGAATTGTTAGTTTTACAGTTTTCTCATTTAAGATGAAAAACTAGTCTTTCAGCTCGTTTATTTTCGTTTTTTAAACAAAGTATGAAAGCGAAACGTGAAAAAGGGATAGAAAACATTTTCAATAAGCTTTTCAATGAGCACAGACTGAGCTATGAAGTAGTTAAATGCAGACAAGCGTATCTTTCATTTAGTGCAGGATTGTTGCGTCTCCAAACACTTTGCATAACGGAACAGAAGACACGGTTGTTGGTGGGCAAATTTTTAGAAAATTAAAAATGAATTTAGCTGAAATATATGTCAGTTCGTGATGCTTCAAAGAACTTCCTGTTTCGGTACCGTAGCTTATACTGGTGTTGAGTGAGGCCCATTTGTATATTTTTCTCCATCACTGAAAGGTTAGAATGAATTACATTCACAAATCCAAAATTTATTCCCTATATAT